AACGCCCCAACCCTGTAGGAGGAGGAAGAGGAGGAGGAGGAGGAGGAGGAGGAGGAGGAAGAGGAGGAGGAGAAGGAGGAAGAGGAGGAGGGAGGAATAGGGACGTTCCCGGCCTCAGGCGAAGACGACGGGGCCTCGCGGCCCGAAACCCTGGCCTCCCCGGGCCTCGACCCTGCTCCTGGGGCGGCGGAGTCCTGCTCTTGCCGCGGAGCTCCTCGCCGCTGTGGCGGGACGCGTCTGCCATGAGCACCTGCCGCCCGAGCCGGGGTTGGGCGGGGGCGCGGGCTGCGCGCTGCCACGCCGCGCGTGCAGCACCTCCTTGGTGCAGCTCCCTCCCCCCCAAACAAAAACAGGAGAGGCAAGGGAGGAGGAGGAGGAGGAGGAGGAGGAGGAGGAGGAAGAGGAGGAGGAGGAGGAGAGGGAGGAGGAGGAGGGGAGGAGGAGGAGGGGGGAGGAGGAGGGAGGGGGAGGAGGAGGAGGGAGGGGGAGGAGGAGGAGGAGGAGCAGGAGGAGGAGCAGGAGGAGGAGGAGGCCCTGCCAGAGGCAGGAGAGGCCCTGCCAGAACCGTTGGGCTGCGGCTCGAAAAAAACGATCCCGAGGGAGCCACGGCGGGACATCTCTCCCCGCTCTCTCGAGGGCACGCGCCGGGCCCCGAGGGGCCGGCGTGGACGGCTGGGGGGCGAGCAGGCGGTCGGTGCCGGGGAACGGGTCGAGGCCTCGTGGTGTTCGGTCGGGCGTGTCCTCCTGCAGGCGGAGGTTGGACGAAAGCTGAAAAGTACGGAGAACTGATTCAAAAGTAGTCCGGATTGTGAAGAGATCGCCCCCTGACTATATTTTCACTCCTCCTCCTCCTCCAACGGTCGGTCGGTCGGTCGGTCGGGAGTTGACTCTCGTCCAACATCCTCCTGCAGGCGGATGTTGGACGAGAGTCGAGAGTTCAAACAATACGGGGAACGGATTCAAAAGTAGTCCGAATTGTGAGAGGATCGCCCCCCGACTATATTGTTTAACTCTTTTGGAGCATTCCTCCTGTAGGAGGACATGCCCGGCTTAGCTCTGGGGGCCGACGCTGCGAAAAGCTATGACGTCGTGGGTCTGGGACAGGCGAGCGAGCACGCGGCACCGAGACCCAGCCTCTTACCTCGGCGCGCTGTCGGGCAACCAGGCGGCACCCCTCCATTGCGGTCGTCCCTGTTGTCTTCCCCACCCACCCTGGAGGAACCAGCAGCGCCCTAAACATACATTTTTGGAGGTCCGCGCGGGTTCCTCAGATCTGCGCTGAGACCCCCTCCCTGGCGCGCGGAGCGCGCCAGGGGGGCGTCGCCGGAGGCGCCGCCGCGGGGGCCCTCACGCTGCTCCGGGATGTCCTCGTGGACCTGCGAAAGTTTCTGCGTTGCTCATTCTTCGCGCCCCCATGCTCTCGGTGGCCTCGAGCACAGGGAGCCCCACTTTCCCCCTTGGAATATCGTGGGGCGGTGGAGTGGGGATCGCAGTTCTGGCCTCCTGTCCTCCTCCTCGTGGGGCGGTGGAGAGGGGTTCGCAGTTCTGGCCTCCTGTCCTCCTCCCTCTCTTCCTGTTCCCCCGCCCTTCTCTGGGGCGCCGGAGTTTACACATGTCCACCGCCCCTGGAGGTCTTGGGAGATCGATCCTACAGGCGTTTGGCACCATGCCTGTGCACTTCCTGGCCTTGGATGCTCCTCCTCCTCGTCCTGCAGTTCCTTCCCAAATATGCGACGTCCTGAATGTTCCAATGCTGGGTCCCTGGAAATCCCGACCCGTTTCCCGGGACCGGGTTTTCATCCCGAAGCATTTTTTGACGGTCCCGAGGCCCGGCGAGAGCCCACCGAGGCCGAACATGGCCAAACAAATCCCGTCCTGAGCTTTTTAACGACGCGATCACGTCTGCGTTCCCTTCACCTTCCCCCCCATCCTCCCATGAGTTGGAGCGCCAGAGGGCGGACAAAGAGCGAGCCTCCCAAGAAAGGGAAAGGACCGTTGCCCACCACATCGAAGAGGTGACACGCTAAATGGACGTCATGGAGACGGGAAGCAACAACTGAGCTTCCGCGTGCGTGCTGCAACGGCCGAAGGGAGCGGATGGCGCTGCACCACCTAGTCACTTAATGTCCGCCCTGCCGCAGCGATCGGCGGAGAGCCTGCACCACCTGGAGATCCGACCAGCCCCGCGCGCGAGAGACAAGGAGGATGCTGTCCGATCGAACTTCCGGCAGCCGTCGGAACGGTCGCACCTGGGCCGTTACGCCAGCCGCTATCAGAGCGACATCAATTGACACTCCTTCTCTTGCTTCTCCCTCTCTCCTCCCCTACTCTTCCCGTTGATCGTTCTCCATGCGCTCGTTCTCTCGGTCCCTCCCCTAGTCCTCTCCTGCTCTTCCATCCCCTTCCCCCAGGGCGCACGTAGGTCATGAGACCTGCCAGTTTGGCGGGCATGTCCCTTGCGCAAGATTTCCTTTCGCTCACATCACGCAGGGAACCCAGGCATTGCCAAAGGTACGTTCCTCTTTCTCCTCCTCAGTTCGAGAAAAGCGGAGTAAAGTCTAGACATCTGGCGAAGCAAGGAAGTAGTGGCGCGCGTAGAACATGGGCACCCCGACCGTGTCAAATTCCTGGGAGTTGTTGGAACAGGCGTTGGGCAAAAGCGGAGAGGGCACGCTCCTGATTGATCGGCGTAGCTGCATGTATGGGAATAGTTATATGAGGCAGCTGGATCTACACCAGGCTGGATTCACGTGCGGACCATGCCGAGGCCACTGTCTTGTTGAGCAGTCGGGGGTGTGACGTGCCCAACCACACATGACGGCCGTGCAGAGGACTGCCATTTGGCCGCTTCTACATCCATCCTTCGCTCAGTCCAGCTTCGCCGTGTGCTTCCAGCTTTCTAGTAGGCCCTGCACGGCGCTTCCCACCATCTTGACGTCGTCCAGGTCGCCGACGCCGCTAAAAATCTTCGTCGGCTGCAGGAAAGTCTGGGAGCAGCAGGCGAAGCCGGAGGGGATAAGGCAAAGGGGAGCATATGGCGAGGGGAGGATGGAGGAGCTGCGGCATCGGGCGGAGCAAGAAAAAGGGGGAAGGGTACTATCACGAAGAATGTAAGTGGAGGAAGCGAGAAGGTAAGACATGACGATGGAGAAGAGGGACAGCGTTCAGCTGGGCAAGCAACACATTTTTGGACGAACCACTTCTGCATAAAATTATCACTCACAGCTGTGGTCATGCCGTCAGATCGTCAATGGATGATCACCTCGTCGGCTTGTGTTTTTGCCTTCCCCAAGGACACTCGGTGCTGGGCCAAACCGAGTGCACCAGGCAAGAACTCGAAGGTGGACAATTCGATGCGTTGTCTGGCAGGTTCCACTGCGTGAGTGCCCGGCGGACGTCTCGCCTGCAATTCCCCCCTCCTTACCTTTGCTCTCCGCATGCTCTCCCCGCCGAGGCTGCTGCTCCTCGTCGTCATCATCGGCGATCCGACCGCAACCTTGACCGTGAGACCCATCTCCAAGATCCGCGACCGCGTTTGCCCCAGTCGAGGAAGCACGCGAAACACGACACGCAAGAGCAACCGGTGGCGCGGGCGCTCCTTCCATAGCGCGATCCAGATGCCGAGCAGCGCCTTCCCACGGCATCGCGCCGAGGTCCAACAGGAACGAACAACGAGAACATGCTTTTGGCTCATGCAAGGCTTGCCAGCGTGGATCCCCATATCTAGAGAGAGAAAGAAGAGAGAATGGGCAATTGCACTCTCGATGTGAAACACGTGTGGTGCAATCCGTGTGTGGTGCAACCCATGTGGTGCAAACTAGATGGTGCAATCTGCGCGATGCACCAGATGAGGTGCAATCTCTGAGATGTGAAAAATGTGTGTTGTGGCACAATGCAATAGAAAGAGCTTGCAGCCGTCAAATCCGTTCCTCGCTGTCAACTCCAAAGCTCGACCAATTTGCCCACGCAAACATCCGCAACTCGGTGGTAAATCCCGACTAGCGCATTAACGCGAGGGCAATTCCCATGGAGATCCATGACTGGGGTGGGCGAGAACTGCTGCTGATGATGATGATGATGATGATGATGATGATGATGATGATGATACTGATGATGATACTGATGATGATGGTGGTGGCGCTGACGAACAGGGCGACGGCAACGACGATGACGAAGACGATGCTGATGACGACGGATGGCACGATGACAACTACGATTGTGACGGTGATGCAGCTGGTGGTGATGATTTCGGTGGCAATGATGGCGCTGGCGATGATAATGGCGACGGTGCTGGTGAAGATGATGAGGAAGTACGCGCGAAAGAGTTCCGACGTGCTGACAGAAATCTGATTGGAAAACCATTGCGTCTTGATCTGATGTTGAACACCTCAATGTTGAAATACCGAGAACCGATTGTCTTGGGAAGATGTCAGCGTGCGCTCGTGCACGGCAATGCGAGCGCGTGGCCAGAATTGTCCTACTTGGCAAGAGCTGGCGGGCGCGCGATGAATTTGAAGGTGTCCGATCTTCGGCCCCATGAGTTCAACGACTGGTCGCGCAGAAATGTTGCAACTTGGTGCCTAAAACAACAACAGGGAGCATGTGTTAATTTCGATAGGGAGGTCTGTCATGAAAACGCGGGGTGCTTCTGCACAGTTTTGACATGCACGTGGCCCCGCATTCTTCTATCCGAAGAGAGCTGTTCAAGAACGTGGCGGGGAACTCGATTACCCAAAGGTCGGAATGGGGGATATAGTTGAATTATTTGTAGGATTCCGCTTTGCTGGCGTCCGCGCGGGCCTGATCATATACTCGTGAAAACCCGCAACCGGTTTGCAAAACTCCACTAGGGTAGTAACGCGCGGACCCCTGCCATGAGGAACTCTGACGCGGGCAGGCGCGTGCTGCTGATGATGCTGATGATGATGACGATGATGATGCTGATAATGATAATGATAATGATGATGGTGATGATGATGATGGTGATGATGATGATGATGATGATGATGACGACGATCATGATGGCTTCGATGAGGGCAACGGCAACAACGATGACCATGATGATGGTGATGATGATGCTGATGATGAAGAAGAAGACGGTGGGGGTGATGACGGCAGCGATAGTGGTGCTTATGAGCATGATGAGGATGATGATGGCAGTGGTAACGCTGGCGATATCGATAACGATAGTGCTGATGAAGATGATAAAGGGTTGCGCCCGCAGACACTCCGAAATTATTGCACAGTTGCGGTGGATTAGGAATTGATGTCCCACCTGTGCTGTTAACACCTCTGCACATCTGTGTTGAAATGTGGACACGTGCGCGTGTGCACGATGCTTGTTGACTGTGCGGGTACGCGATGCTCGTTGACTGCGTGCGCGCGGAACTCTGACAACTTCTTGCTTAACAAAGGCTCTTTAAACGAACCCATCTGCAATACATAAAGAATACACGTATGTGTATCTCTATTTTTATATATATGTATACATGTATATAAATATGAACTCCTACGCACAAAAGGGAGCGATCTTATTGAGATGATTTGCCATGCGCACACGAGGGAGCGCGCATGTGGCCCACACAGTGTGACTTGAAACAAAACGCACCTCTTAGATCAACGCGTGCGCACTGCACTGCATCATTCTCATTACTTTGGCAAGGGTGAAAGGGGGGAGGTGCTGGGTCTTCGCGGTGCGCAGAGGGGGCGGAGGGGGGGGAGAGGGCTTCTTAGAACGAGACTGTTTCTTAGAAGGCGCTGGCCTTAGATCTACAGATAAGGACCGCGCCTTCTAAGAAGCAGGGGTGCTTCTAAGAAGCCCTTCCCCCTCCCCCCACCCCCCTCTGCGCGTGGCTGAGGGTCGGCTGGCAAGGTATGATCACCGAACAGGCATGAGCGGTGCTACAGGACACACTGCGCGGACAGACCTGACCGCGCTGTTCTGGTGGCGCGTACGCGGTGTAGGCTACGTGGTGCCTGCGTAGCGCCAGCGCCAGCCAGCGCACGGGGCGGCCAGGCGGCGGCCACTGGACGAGCGCCAGGAAACGCCAGCCAACACACGGGGCGGCCGGGAGGTGGCCACAGGCTGCCACCTGACGAAAGCCGAGAGACACTAGCCAGCGCACGGGGTGCTGGCCACGAGGCGGCCACCTGTTGAACACCCGGAAACTCCAGCCAGCGTCAGAGGTAGCCACGAGGCGGCCACGGGTGGCCATGTAGCAAACATCCGGCAACGCAGCCAGACCCTAGTGCAAACCCTAGTAGAGGAGGTACTGCCTGCTACTCGACGTTCCGAGGAAGAGACTGCGCCTCATCAATATATGCAAATTCCGATGTGTAGTTGTTGCAAGGCCAAGACCTCCGGACAGGTGACCCCAATAACGGTCCCCTGGACCAAAAGGACAGCCCTGCTGCGGGTCCTCTCACAAGGCCTAGGAGGGTCCGAGCCAGGCCCCAAGACGGTTTAAGGAACCTTGAGAAAGCACAAGAGGGCTCGAGGACGCCCCAAGATGACCTCAAGATTATCCAAGAGGCTCTGAGGCACCGAGATGTTCCAAAATGGCCCAAAGAAGATCATCAGGATGGCCCCAGCATGCCAAAATCTCGGACCTGTATCAAAAGGTTGGATGGTCATTTTAGAAGTCTCGCCTTTTCGAGCTTCCAGCGCTCCAAGACGGCCGAGGACGTCCCCGAGATCGCTCCAAGACCACCATAGAGGCCCCCCCCGGAGGTCGTCAAGACAGCCCCAGATGGTTCCAATATGGCTCAGGAGGCGCCCAGGAGGGCCCAAGAGGTCCCCGAGAGGGCCCAGGGAAACCCGAACTCACATGCCGAGTCTTTCTCCAAACAATGGCCCCCCCGACCGCAAGCAGGCTCCCAAGAAGCCCCATGGCCCCCAAGACGCTCTCAAGCAGCACCAAGAGACTCCCACAATACATCCCAAGCGACCCAGCCGCGGTGGTGGCCCAAGGCCACTAGACATATGTGCGTATGTGTGTGTATGTGTGTGTGTGTGTGTGCATGCATCCTCCCACCTCCTCATTGTTTGACGCTTGAGAGTATGGCCGCAGCGTCTGAGAGCGAATGCAAAGGTTAAAATAACCACGCCGAGGGCGGCAGTTGCAGCACAGCAAGACAATATAGCGAGCAAAGACAGAGCAAAGCAAGACATGCTATGCAGGAAGGCTCCAGAAACAAAAACTGTGTTGCCCACAGGTCGGAGGTATAGACCGCATCCATGTTGCCTTTACCACGTACTGCATCGTCCAAACGACACCAAGCTACATCCATCCAACCTTACGCGATGGGCCAAAATACAAGCAACCTCTGTCGCTTCAGTTGGGTGTAAACGTTGACGGACCAAGGCGCAAGGCGCGAAGCGCCGATGGAGTCTTGTGCGAACGTCTTTGTGTACAATGTACGAGCGCCACCTACACTTGCCATGTACGTTGCCCTCAAATCCGCCGACCCAGTGGACGTGTGTGAGAAGCCCTTCGACGCGAGGCCAGCCCAACCCAAACTCAAGTACGCCCGCCTACTCTGAATCGTCCTCGTCTCCGTAAGGAAGATCGAACAAGCAAAGGGGATCTAACAGTGTCCTCATTACGTCGAATTCGAAGCCCCCTCCCTTTTTACCTTTCCCGCCGGGTGGTGGGTCCTGGGAGAGGTCCACGCGCGGGGGCGGTCCAAGGGGCGGTCCCAGGGGGAGGGGTCCTGCGCAGGGGGGAGTCCTGGGGTCGTGACGACCCCTCCCCCCGCCTCGGACTTGCAGCTACAACTCTGGCCCCAGCCCTGGCCCTGGCCTCGGCCCCGCGGCCCCCGCCCCCAGCCCCCGGCCCCTGGCCCCCGGCCCGGCCCCGGCCCCCGGCCCCCGGCCCCGGCCCCGGCCCCCGCCCCTGCCTGGGCCTGGGCCCCGGCCCCAGCCCTAACAGAGCCCAGTATACACGCTCCCAGGATCAGGAGAGCTCCAATAAGGGCTCCAGAGCGTCAGCGTCGTCGTCGTCGTCGTCGTCGTCGTCGTCGTCACCGCCGCCGCCGCCGTCGTGGTCGGCGGCACGGTCCGTAAGGTGTTTGTTCGTTGTTTCTCTCTCTCTCTCTCTCTTTCTGGTTTTCCCTCTGTCTCTCTCTCTCTCTCTCTCTATTTATATATATATATATATATCTATAGATGCATATGGTCCGACATGGTTATGTCAAGACGCTGGCAAGATGTTGCCTCAAACGACACTCCAAACCGTGCCCCAACAGAAACGCTCAACATTGAGAAAACAAGCATAACTCCAGTTCTCCCTTCCGAATGCTTCACGCAGAATCCTAATTATCCCGGCAAAGCAACCTAACCGCGATGTGTAGGAGCATATCTGGAAGCATTCCCCTTAAGATTCAGATGAGAATCCTGTTGTAGATTTCTGCTGTTCTGACAGTCGTAGTCGCATTCGCGATGGCAGTCGCAGTGGCAACGGCAGTCGCAGTCACAGCCTCAGCCTCAGCCTGCCTCAGCCTCAGCCTGCCTCAGCCTCAGCCTGCCTCAGCCTCAGCCTGCCTCAGCCTCAGCCTCAGCCTGCTTCAGCCTCAGCCTCAGTCTGCCTTCAGCCTCGGCCTCAGCCTCAGCCTGCCTCAGCCTCAGCCTGCATCAGCCTCAGCCTGAGCCTCAGCCTGCCTCAGCATCAGCCTGCTCAGCCTCAGCCTCAGCCTGCCTCTGCCTCAGCCTCAGCCTGCTTCAGCCTCAGCCTCAGTCTGCCGTCGGCCTCGGCCTCAGCCTGCATCAGCACCGCCTCGTCCTGACCTCAGCCTCAGCCGCTTAGCTCAGCCTCAGCTGCCTCAGCCTCAGCCTCAGCCTGCTTCAGCCTCAGCCCTCAGTCTGCTTCAGGCCTCCGGCCTCAGACCTCAGCTGCCGCAACCTCAGCCTGGCATCAGCCCAGCCTCAGCCTCAGCCCTGCCTCACAGCCGCAGCCTCAGCCTGCCTCAGCCTCAGCCTCAGCCTGCCTCAGCCTCAGCCTCAGCCTGCTTCAGCCACAGCCTCAGTCTGCCTTCAGCCTCGGCGTCAGCCTCAGGCTGCCTCAGCCTCAGCCTGCATCAGCCTCAGCCTCAGCCTCAGCCTGCCTCAGCATCAGCCTGCCTCAGCCTCAGCCTCAGCCTGCCTCAGCCTCAGCCTCAGCCTGCTTCAGCCTCAGCCTCAGTCTGCCTTCAGCCTCGCCTCAGCCTCAGGCTGCCTCAGCCTCGGCCTGCATCAGCCTCAGCCTCAGCCTCAGCCTGCCTCAGCATCAGCCTGCCTCAGCCTCAGCCTCAGCCTGCCTCTGCCTCAGCCTGCTTCAGCCTCAGCCTCAATCTGCCGTCAGCCTCGGCCTCAGCCTCAGCCTGCCTCAGCCTGCCTCAGCCTCAGCCTGCATCAGCCTCAGCCTCAGCCTCAGCCTGCCTCAGCCTCAGCCTGCCTGAGCCTCAGCCTCAGCCTGCTTCAGCCTCAGCCTCAGTCTGCCTTCAGCCTCGGCCTCAGCCTCAGCCTGCCTCAGCCTCAGCCTGCATCAGCCTCAGCCTCAGCCTCAGCCTGCCTCAGCATCAGCCTGCCTCAGCCTCAGCCTCAGCCTCAGCCTGCCTCAGCCTCAGCCTCAGCCTGCTTCAGCCTCAGCCTCAGTCTGCCGTCAGCCTCGGCCTCAGCCTCAGCCTGCCTCAGCCTCAGCCTGCATGAGCCTCAGCCTCAGCCTCAGCCTCAGCCTCAGCCTGCCTCAGCATCAGCCTGCCTCAGCCTCAGCCTCAGCCTGCCTTAGCCTCAGCCTCAGCCTGCTTCAGCCTCAGCCTCAGTCTGCCTTCAGCCTCGGCCTCAGCCTCAGCCTGCCTCAGCCTCAGCCTGCCTAAGCCTCAGCATCAGCCTGCCACAGCATTCAAAATGTGGCCGGGGAATGGAGTTCTGGGAACTCGAAGAACACGAAGTGGCCTACAGTTGGCTCCGGGCATTCAAAATCATGCCCAGGAATGGAATTATGGGAACTCGAAGACCACGAAATGGCCTACAATTGGCTCCGGGCATTCAAAATGTGGCCCGGGAATGGAGTTCTGGGAACTAGAAGAGCACGAAGTGGCCTACAGTTGGCTCCGGGCATTCAAAGTGTGGCCCGGGGATGGAGTTCTGGGAACTCGAAGAGCACACAGTGGCCTACAGTTGGGTCCAGGCATTCAGAATGTGGCCCGGGAGTGGAGTTCTAGGACCTCGAAGACCACGAAGTGTGTAACCGTTGGCTAAAAAAATCCCCGGCATCCTCCCCCGGATCGCGCCCAGACTCCCCTGGGGCGTCATGATGCTCTCTTTTGGCCCTACTAGAAAACTATCAGTCTTCGCTGTTAGGTAAAAACACCTGCAACTACACAAACAATGTTGTTTACATGACTCGATCTGAACTGTACTCCACGACATCATAATATCTGTCACATTCATGTTGTATCACTCCTCCTCCTCCTCCTCCTCCTCCTGACCCTACCCAACACACCGCTCACCCCACTCTCATCCTCCTCATTTCCTTCCTGCCCCATCCGTTCCGTCCATCTGCCCCCCGCCCTCCGCCTCCTCCCTCCCCCTTCCCCCCGATCACCTTCGGCGGGTTCGTGCGGCGTTGGCGCGCGCATAGGTTTTTGCTACCGCGTTGATCATCGTGCAAACGTGAATCGATTGCGGCCCCGATTTTTCAAGGTTCAATTCCGTCGGGTCTAGTGGCGTCACCGTGTCCCTCGGTGCTTCCGCGTCGCAGAATTTAACTTTGAATGCCTCCGCTGGCGTCGCCGGCACGCCAACGCCGCATGAACCTTCCGCCCCGATTCTCTCAACACCCTCCCTCCTTCTCTTCCTGCTTCTCCTCCCAATGTTCCTCGTTCTCCTCCCCACTGCTTGCAAATGAGCGTGTTGCAATGCGCCACGCCATCCGCAACTGCTTCCCCAGGCATCTTCAGTATACATTCCCCTCATGCCCCCCAATATCCTCAACATCTTGTTCCTCCTCCCCAACCTCCCAAACATGTTGTTCCTCCTTCGCCCCTTCTTCTGTCTGCTCTTGCTTCACCTCCTCGTGCCCCTCATCACCCATCTCCCCTTTCTCTTCCGCGCTCGCCTCATCGGACGCAAGGGCACGTTGTTAGAATGAGTTGTCTTCCCGCGGAGAACGCCTCTACTGCGGCAATCATCTTCGGGCACGCAAGAGAAAGAAAGAGGCGGATGACCTCTCAATCTGACAAGGGACGCATGCCTCCCCTACGCTGGACGGCATGGCTTAGCGATGCTGTGTTTGAGTTGGCCGTGCGGAAATCGAAGCGAATCACCGACGTCACCGGACGCGCCTCGAATACAGCCGCAGACATTCTGGCATCGCCCGAGAGGATGGGGAGGAATGCAGGCGCCCCCAGAATCGAATCGAGAAGTCGGATCAGCGATCGAAATGAATCGGATCGGCGAAAATCGGCGACCGAGTCGGGAAAAGTCGAATCGGCGGGAATCGGCAGGTTGGTAGGCCTCTAGTGAAACATCGGAGCCCACATCAGAATCCGAAGCCGAACGGGCTTGGAATCGGAAGCCATCGAAATCGAATCGAATCGGATGAGTCGAAGCGAGATCTGGGAAGGGGGAGGACAAGGAGGGGCTCTCCTCGTCCTCCTCCCCTGCCCGCTCATCCACTGCACAAATCAGCCCTCGCTGCAGGCCTGCACGATGAGCGTCAACAGGATGATCTTGTTCAGGCGCTCGTACCTGCACTGGGGGGGGAGAGAGAAAGAGAGAGAGAGAGAGAGAAAGCGAAGGGGGGAGGCGTGGAGGAGGGCGGGGGGGGGTCCCCCTGGATGGGGCGCCGGAGCGCGGGGAGGGGAACGAGGGGGCTTCACAGCCTTCGCGTGGGCCCGAGAAGGCCGAGGGAAGGTTAGAAGATACGCTTCGCAATTACCCTCCCCTCAGCCACCTGTGACCGCTGCCGGGGCACCTGCCCCATCAAGAACGCTGCTGGGTCGAGGGGGGAGAAGTAGAGAGGACGGGGAGGAGGGAGGGAGGGGCGCGGTCGACCAAGGGGGAGGGGGTGCCTGTATCCCGTAGTCCTCCTTGGATAGGGTTGGAGGGTACTATGGTTGAGGATGCTGCGCAACCGCCGTCGTATTATCTATCCTCCCTCCCGCGTCCGCGAACTGCTCGTCCTCTCCTGTTTAGTGATCTCTCCGCTGGTAAATGATTTGATAATAGGGACAACTGGTGTCTGAACTGTTTAAAGCCCAACAATATGGAGGTCGGGGGTTCTCGGGATTTCTGGTCGCCCGGTGGCATTGTCCCTGGGCCATGACATTACGTGATGAAAAGAACTGGTGCTACATGGTGGTTTCTGGTGTTGGGCGAACATAGTATGGCCTGGTCTAGGACAATGTGGAATTCTGGGTGTTGGGGTTAGAAGGTGTTGTGGCCGCGTGTGCTGCAGATGTCCAAGCACTTGATCAATCTGGAAGTTAAGGGTGTTCTTTGCGGTGTTGGGACTTGTTGG